GTAGCCTGACTTCAGATCCATCATACAGAAAATTTTTGTACCAGCCAGACAGTCCAAAGCATCATCGATGCGAAGGTAATGGATATATGTACTTTTTAGTTACCCTGTTCAATTTTCAGTAATTGACTCAAAAACGCCCTTCATCGTTTTTCTTTTCCTCAAGCAGGACTGGAAATGACCATGGACTGTCTGACGGTTGTATCACATCTTTTAGCGTTCGTTGCACTTCGTCTGTAATCACATGCCTCTCAGTGGCTGACACATGGTATGGCCTTTGTTTGATTGGTGCACTGTCACCTGTATCAATCTTGTGCTTCACCACATCACCAATATTGTGCATCGGAATTTTTTCGCAATACTGTTTAAGTAAAAAATGTCACTAAATTCATCTAGTAGACTCAATAGCTGGTCTTTCTCAGCATTGGTCAAATCAGTATCGAAAATTTCTTGTAAGTTTTCTTGAGATAACCTTTTCCTGGACCTATGTCCCTTGGAACCTTCTGGAGCCTGAACACTTTGAGAGCAAATAGCGTCGTTTTTTATGGTCGTTAAAAGCCTACATTCATCCCTTTCAGGATCAGTTGGGTTCGTCGAGAACAATTAGCTACCCATAATTTACCATAACCATCCTCTATAGTGACAATTGAAGCTGGTATCGATAGTTCTTTTTCACACATCAGAAATCTATTTCCAATAATCATAGCTCCATCTGCTACGCGTAGTTCTGAATTCAGGGCACATATTCGCTTTGCGATGTTTGCTTCAATTACATAATCGGTTGCGGCAAACAAGGAGGGCTCTGACTTATTTAAATATTCATTATCTGGAAGAATTTCTATAAGTGTAAGTTCTTAATTTCCACAATTGATAATGGCATCGGTGGCACGGAAAAAGTTCCATCCAAGTATCATTTTATGACTACATTCAGGAAATACAAGGAATTCAAATGGCTCCTTAATCCCATTCAAATCAACTTTTAATACACAGCGTCCCGAGGCGACTACAGGTTTACCACAGGCAGTTTTCAATGCAGGTCCATTCTCAGCAAACATAGAAGCAATTAGCTGTTGACGTAACTTTTCGGATATGACAGAATAATCGGCACCCGAATCAACAAGGGCTTTCACACACTGTCCGGTGTTAAAAGTGTTATTCTTTTTCAACTTGGCTGTGGTGTACGTTGGAGGATTTTCTTTAACTGCAGTCTCACCTCCTGTACAGGTTGCTTGAGCTAGTTTTCCCCATTGGTTCAGCGTGGGGAACGGCTGGAACGAAGTACTGGTTATTGTGACTGTCGGCGGTTGAGAGAGTGTTGCGGATAAGGTGAATTACTCCTTCTTCGGGAAGAACTAGGTTATGCATATTCGTCGTCGAAGCTGTATGTAGATTCAGTATCCCTGTCCCGTCGAGTGATGGACGTCTTTGCGGCTCTTGCATTTTCAAATATCTGGCGTATCTCCCTACAGTACCTCAGAACATGTCCAGGGCATCCGCAATGAAAACAGAGAGGCACATTATCGTCAGTCCTCCACAGATCTGTCCTACGTTATTGAGCAGTTCATTGGCTGGCTTCACGTCTTGGCTGCGACCTAACTGGAAGTGAACTTTGGGTGGTGTTTTTGCTTCTCCCTGCTCCTGTGAGTGGTGCCAGCGCCTCTCTAACCTCTTCCCGGACCACAGACACTATGTCATTCAGTGCTGCGGATTCTATTTCCGTGTAGTCATGAACTTGCGGCACGATCTTCTGAACCTCTTCCCTGACTATGGCGCGCACTATAGAACTGCATTCGTTGGCGTCTGCATCGGCCGACACCGCAGAGACATTAGGCAGCCTTTGGAATTGGCAATACGTTTTTGTCGAAGACTTTCTATGTGACGGCAGCGTTTCACAAAGGCATCGACGCTGTCATAGTCCTGGGATGACAGGACCTGGTGTAAGTCTTCAGCAATACCTTTCATGAGATAGGCCATTTTCGCGTCTTCAGACATGGATGGGTTTGCTTTTCAGCAGAGAGTTAGAACATCTTGAACGTAAGCTTCAGACGGCTCATCGATTTGCTGGGCACACATGAGAAGTACTCGTTGAACTTTGAGCTTTACATCAGTTGCTCGGGAAACTGTGTTCTTAAGAGCAGTCCTGAAAACAGTACAATAGGTGAATATGTCTTCATTATTATCGAACCACTGTCGAGCAGTTCCACCAAGGTAAAAAATGACGTTCGCTAGACACATTTGATCATCCCAGTGCTTATAGTTGGCAATTCGATCAAAGTCCTTGAGCCATCTATTAGTATCTTCTTGGCTGTCCACGGTGAATATACATGGCTTCTCGGTAGTTGGTATGTCAGGATCAGTATTGGTGCGATATTACTCAAAGCGGCACTAGCTGCTGGTGGAGGATTCTGCTCAGTTTCCTTCTCATCAAAAATATTTCTCTATCTTTTACGCAAATCCTGTAAGAGTCCAAACTCAAGAGGAATTCCTTGAATACACAGGGTTCAGCGTAACTCTGCCGTAGTAACTGAGTGATACCCGGCACCTCCACCAAACTGTCGCGTAGATGAAGGGACCCTACAAATGAACAAGCAAACACTCAAGACTTTTTATCAAGTCGAACTGAATGAAGAGATACTTATACAGCTGGTGAATATGCTGGAACATTACAGATTCATAATGTTTTGGAAGAATAAGAAGGAAATTTACATAAAAACCAATTATCAGGCATCTTGCCGTTGATGGGTTTCGTGTCCTGCATCTTCTCCGCTAAGCTATGAGGAGCTCGGTCGGAAAGAGGAATTTTTGCTACATACACAGTCAAAAGTCGTTAATCCGGACTCGTCGGGACTTCGGCGATTCCGGATTATCGATTTTTCCACAATATAGATCATCAATTTAAATCTCGTAAGATGGCTTGCAGAAATTCTAAAATTAAAAATATGAAACCGTAATTTAAGAAATAAAGAACAATTATGATCTAAAGGGTATCAAAATTTACAAAAAACAAAAAACAAAAAAAAAAAGCTTAATATTTATTTGTTTACTTTATTAAACATTTCTCTCAATGTAAGTTGTTTAAGTTGCTTCGTTTTATGTGATAATACTTTCTCTTTAATTCTATAAACAGACATAATTTCTTGTTCAGTTACAAAGTTCGCTGTTCAAGTCCCGTAATTGCTGTGCCGAGAAAGAATACCGACTAACTTGTCAATTGAAATTTTTTCGTTTTCACTAACCTCTCTGTCACCTTCTTCATGTCTTTATCCATTTTTTGCAGCAATTCCACTTTTTGTTTGATGGACATCGAAACATACTTTCGTTTTGTAGATCCTTTGGGAGCTCCAGCATCCGAAATTCTATTTAACATAATCGAAAGTTCAAGTTTACTTTTATAAAATTGCTCTTACAGTCTGCAAAAAATAATAAGCCGGAACCAATTCAAAGATAAGGAACAACGCAATCATCAACATTAACTGAAATAGATAATTTTAGCTTATACCGTCCGTTATACATTAAACGCGCACGCGAAAACGTATTCTGCGTTTGCGCACACGCATATGTGCAGTCGTAAAGGTCTTATGCGCACGCATAAACGCCTATGCGCATGTGTCAACGCGGCGCGTGCGCAGAACGTTTTTAATTTCGAGGTCCGGATTATGGGTGTCTGAATTAACGACTTTTGACTGTATGTATATATATATAAAGCAGAAAAATTTATCATGAAAAACTTCTGCTCTCCAACTTTATTATAATCAAGAAATTTTGTCCTGGCAAAACACCAAAAATCTGCTTTAGATAGTGATATGATGGTTGACTGATCATTCTTCCTAAACAAGAGAGATACCAAATCTAAACGCATTAAACACAAATTAGATCATTTAGTCACCTTGATTAAATGTAGATACAGAAGCAAGAACTGAAGACTTACAGCAAAACAACCCATGATGTAAATTCCTTCACTACTCCTAAATCAACACTACCTTTAAAAAATAAAATAAAAAGAGAGAGAGAGAGAAAGAAAAGAGATTCCAAGCCAAATTTCATTGTTCAATTTTTTTTTCAAGATGTTCAAAGCTCTTTCAAAAATTCTTACAAAAATTTTAGAGGACTTTTAAATTGTGCAAAGTTACTAACTCTCCACTTCAAAAATTACAGTACATAATAAATTTGATGAACTTTTTAGAAAGACTTGTAATTTTGTAAATTTCAATTCCCATAAGATAATTAGTAGAAATATCAATGTGATCTATCTCTCCAAATTCAGTGATGATTCTACACTTTTTTAGGCTTTTTCCAGCCATCAGTAGATGGTGCCACATTCACAGCTCAGACTGAATGACCGTTTCTCTTTCCAGCTTTCTGCACACTAACCAAATCTTCCTCACTCAAGCCTGTTTCTTTGAACACAAAGGTGCTTATTTTTCTCTTTCCCCATACTCATGTCTGCTTTCTCCAATATACTCATGGAAAATTTGTCATGACACCCCCCCTTTTTTTTTAGTTATAGGGAAGTACTACACATGTAGTAGAAATCCTGTATAAACACAAAAGCATAAGCATCAAATCATCCTTTCTACCTTTGATTGACAAAGCACACAGATTGTTTGTGAAAGCTTCAACTTCTGCTTAATTGTGGTTATGAGATGTCAACCTATCTTGGTTTCAATTTCATTTTAACCATAAATGCCAGTTTACTCTTTAATATACTGTGATTTATCTGCAATTATACATTTACATTAAGTAAAAATTCTAATCTCCCACCTTAGCTTTTTCTTACCTTTATATAACATTTAAACCATACAAAGAAGAAAAATATTCCTACATTTGAAACTAAAATGGCTGCACCTGTGCATTTATCCTCAAATGAGACAGAAAACAAATGCACAGCCGTCACAGATGAAAATAATCTGATCTTCATTTATCTTAGCAACCTCACCAATGCACAGTAATAAGAATAATGATAGCAAAAATGATTTGTTTTATTCAAATAATAGAAAACAAACCTTTCATTAACACGTTGAATGAAATTTGCCACTTCTAGCTCATGTAGATCAATTTTCTTCTGAGAGGCAGAAGAATAAGGATTATTTCTACTTGACTGAATCAGATTCTCCACATCTGCCATCCAAGGAATATGATCATATTTATGTTCAGAAGAATATGATGTATTATTTGTTTTCCCCACATTAAGTTTTCTATCATCATAACGACTGTCATCAAGCGATGTTACCCTTTGTTCTTCTGGATATTTAGGAAAATGCAACAGCTTCTCCTCTGGTGGATGGGGATAATATATTTGATCATGTCTCATTTCAGAATCCAAAGGTTTCCAATGTCCAAATGTTACAGAATCGTTCCTTATTAAAAAAAATATATATACATATAATACATAAAGTAAGAAATTTAGAGCTAATGTTTCACAAAGATGAAAATTTTGAAATTCATAATTAATAAATTTCAAATAATCTAATAAATGCAACAAAAAATTTAATAAATGTAAAAACTAAAACTTATAAACCCCGATTAAAAAAATTAAAAGTAAAAAGAACACAACAGAAGAGTAATTCAATCAACTTCAATGCCACTTCATCAGGGAAAATCAAAATTGAAATCTTTCTTCTACAAAAATCATTTCTTTACTGTATTCAGAATAAGCTGATGAACCATTTCAATGTATTTTAATTATAACAGCTCACTTGAAAATTCTGCCAGAATTTTTGGGTGAAAATTTTTGATGATTTCTTTTAATGTTAAACATAAGTCCTTCAAGGGTTGATTCCAGTGAACATCCTTTTCAATTAAAAGCTTCACAATAGCAGCTATAGAATTTAAACTGTAAATTAGGATTAAAATTAGATATTTTTGGCCTACATTTTTGTATATGCATATAATTAAGACATTACAAGTATATAATAATTAAAATTGCATAATATTATACTTTTGAATTGGTTTTATATGCATTGACACTTCTAAACTCCCCATCAGTTTTTATAAAAATCTTTTTGCAAATATGTTCTTTTTTGATTCTGTCGGGAACCTTCATGATTTAAGATTATTAATTATTAATTTAAATACAAGTTTAGCATATTAATTTTTTGTGATTAAAAGAATTCATTCAAACAAGTGAAGGAGAGAAAATGTGATCGTACTCAAATTGCTGCGAATTTCTTGCAGGAAGGACAGTTGCTTTTGATAAGACAACCTCTTCCAGGAAATCAGCAATAATTTACTTGCTGTTTTATGAACGTACTATTATTCTTTTTCTTAAATGTGCAATTTTAATGCACACCATTCCAAATTTTAAACTTACCATTTTAACTAACCATTACAAATTTTTAAGTTTCTGAAAATGTTTTAACAGTTTAAACACAATCCTCTTAAGTATGAACATTTCCTACTTTCAATCTGTAATACGTAGGTGCGCATGCATATATATAAACACTGGTCAACAAAATAAGAGAAGCATCCTTGTTAAATAATTTTATTCAAAAGTGGTTGAGTAAAATATTAGTGAATTGTCAAAAAATCCTTCTGAATAATGAAAGAAAAGCTGCAGAAAGCTGCTTGAAATTATTGTCTAAACTCATGTTAGTGCATAAGTCACACAAAATTGAGTCTTTCAAAATTGTAGTCTAGAATTTCTTTTCTTGACAGAAAAAGTAATTTGCATCTCTCTCTAACTGAATCAACATGATCTGCTAGAAAACACAGCGAGACAAGTCATAAGATGACAGGAAACTATTCAAAATCAACAGATCATAGCACCCACAGCTGAAGGCTAATTGTACACTTAGGTAATGAGTTCTAGAGATGGGAAGTGCTCGAAGACATATTGGTTAAGGTCAATCTTCAGCTACTATCTCAGATAAACCATTATTCATCAAACACAATACTTTAAAGTTGGTGTCAAAATAACCTTAGCTGCAAAGATAACTTTTAATGGCACCTAGAAGAACAGTATAAATAAAAACAATTAACACAGACCCTCACACATTTAGAATGAAGCATACACGTTGTTTGTGTCCCAATGACTTATTAACATCACAGAGCTCAAAGAAAATAAGATGAAGAACATTGTGATAGGAGACTGGCCAAACAGAAACATGTAGTTCTTTTCCCTGACTAATTTAGATTCAGTCTAGAGCCATATAATTGATAACTCTCAGAATTTGACTCATATTTGGTTGGATGCCTGTATAATACAGGAAGAGCTAAGCTCAAATGGACATATTGACTTTTAAGTTATTTGGAATGGGTCTCTGACAGCTCTAGTACAGAAAAGAAATTCTTGGACCATTGGCTGTGCCTTAGATAGCTGTCATTTGCAAGCAACATATTTTTTCTATGTATAATAATCCCCAAACTCTTTGAGAACACATAGTAAATCAGAAAAATGAAGAGAAAGCGACAGAGCATATGAAGTGGTTGTATGCTCCTTGGATCTTGATCTGACTGAACATACTTGACACATCCCACAGGTATGCTGATACTGGACCACAACCTCTATTGACATGCCTTCAGTTGGAAAATGTCTTATTGAAAAATGAGAAAGAATCTCTCAAAACCTCATTCACAATTTCATTAATTTGATGCCTTGTGTGAAGGCACCTTGCATACTCAAAGTAACATGTGCCTCATTAAACAGTTGATAAAGTTTACCAATACTTAATTTTCCCTTTCAAAAGATATGAGTAGTTATGTTTTTTTATGGTAGTGAGTGTTTCCTATAAAATAATCTATACATTCAAATATGACTCTTCACTGAATTTCTAAATTTCTGATTCCTTTAATAAATATATTTCAATTAAAATTAAGGGTTTGGCATTTCTGCTGAAGATGCAAATACAGATCTAGAAAAAGTGTCAGCAGTTAAAGACTGGAGATGTCCAGAAAATGTCCATCACCTGAGAAGTTTCCAGGGGCTTTACGATTATTATGAGATTTGTAAAGAACTTTTCTTCCACTGCAAGACCTCTACTTAGACTGAGAGACAGCAGGGAAAAGTTCTCTCGGACAAAAGAATTTGAGGATGCATTAAAAAAAATTAAAGAAAGCTTTAACATCTGTGATGAATCTGACATTCTTAGCTCGACAAACAATTTATTCTTGACACAGAAGTGAACAATGAGAGTGTCAGTGCTGTTTTGTCCCAAGAAATAAACAGTCAAGAATGTTTCATAGCCCACTAGAGAGAGCATATATCTAAACCAGAGAGGAATTACTGTGTCAACAGAAAAGAGCTCATCATATCATTATAGCCGTGGAGCTCATCATAGTTACAGCCGTAGAGCATTTCCATAATTACCTCTATGGAAGGAAATTCTTGATCTGCACAGATCATACATTGTTCACCTGGCTTTAAGTTTCAAGAATCCTGAGGTCAAATAACCAGATGTATACACAGACTTCAAGAGCATAACAACACTATCCATCACTGGAAGAGATCTTTACATGGAAACACAGATGGCCTGTTGATAAGATCCTGCTCAAAAAGCTGCTGATATTGTTCCAGGGTCGAAACGAAATAAAAGCTGCTTAATCTGGTCATAATTCAAGCTATGATTTCAACATCATTTGACCCAGACCCATGGAATGGCAAAGAAGTCAGGAAAGACTAGTTGGAAGACAGCGACATTAAACCCACAACTGACTGAATGGAATCTTCAAATAGGAAACCTACTTGGCAGGACATTTCAGACTATAGTCCCAAGACAAAACAAGATTGAAGTGCATGGGATTCACTCCATATTCGAAATAGTGTCTCGTACCAGAAGTTTGAATCAGACAATGGAAAGACATTCTGATAGCAGCTAATACTTCCAAGATCTCGGATCCTGAACGTCCTCAAAGAACTATACAGCAGTCCAACAGGAGGTCACTTTGGAATAATATAGACTTCGCATAGATTTCAAGAGCACTTCTACTGTAATAATGCAAAGGCGCACAAACTAAAGTAGTGCTAACCATGCGATGCTTATGCGGATCGGAAAGGAACAAAGAAACACAGCCAAGAGAAGCTGCAACATTATAATATAGGAGCACTTTTTGAACACGCTGTAGCTGACATCCCGGGACCTCTGACATGAGCTGCCAAATACATCCTGGTTATCACTGATTAGTTTACAAAGTCGCCTAAAGAGTATCCTATTCCTGATCAAGAGGTTGTTACAGTAGCAGACATAATGATATAACACTGAATTTCCAGGTTCGGAGTGTCTCTTCAATCACATTCCAATCAAGGAAGAAATTTTAACTTGGCTGTAATTAAAGAACTCTGCAAACTAGACTAATTACAGAACTTGGCATCGGGAAAATCCAAACAACATTTTTACATTCTTTTGATGCATTCAGCCCACATGCAATTTGAGTTTTAAATACAGAAGGCAATAAGATGATAAACTGTATCTAATTAGTTGCACTTTTAACTGTAAAAAGGACGAACAGGGTATAATTTAGAAATTTAAAATACAGAAAGGAAAAATTAAATTTTTAAAATTGAGAAATAGTAAAGTGAAGTATATAAGTGCTATATTTAGTCGAAGACAGCAATGTAAGAAGAATACTGAATAGTTTCTGAAACTGAGAAGCTAATGATATCACAGAGTACAAACAAGATTAGTTTCATGGTTTAGTGGCAACAGAAGTTTTAACAGAAAGAAACCACTGCTTTAGGCAACTTTTTCACATTTTAATTGTTAACCTCCTGTTCCATAATTTTGCCAAGGAACATAACATCATAGGTAATAAAAAATGTCTTAAATGTGTGAAAATGCTGAATGTTTCTGCCTGCAACCCAATCTGACCATAATTTCCTCCAGGCAGAATTGTCCTCGAGTGTTTAATTACATAAAATATGTTACCTCAAAACATCTTTGAAACTTGTATATTGTCAATCTGACTCAAGACACTGTTCATTATATGAGGCAGTTTTGATCACAAAATTTGCTTGTGATCTAAGGTTCAATTACACTAAATTCAGCACAACAATTAAAAACAATTGATACTATTTAATAAATAGCAAGATAAAACAATATGTTTGTGATAAGGTATGTCTATCTCTCTCAAAAAAGAAATGTCATGTTTAAATTATCATCCCTCAAAAATAATGAATTTAAATGACACTTCAATTAACTTCACTTAGAGGTGGATAATAGCATATTTTTGTAGCATTCATGAATTTACTATGAATACAGAGTAAGAAATATTTTCATTAGACTCAAAATTATTACCCTTACTTTGTTCTTTTTGGAGACATTCTATCTTCTTCTACAGCTGGTCTTTTATAAGGATCAACTATTAAAAATATTGTATATTACACAACTATAAATAAAATTGCCTTTCATAAGATTCACAGCAAAAAGTATGATTTCACAAAGAAACATTACCATGACCTAAATTATAATGCTTATATCATATTTTGTTCTCCCATCTTTCTAGTGTGAATTTATTGAAAACAGGCAAATGTCATTCTTACACTGAATTATATTTAAATATGCAAAATATGCATAATGATATATGAATTACGGAAATGTATTTAAAAAAAGTTTAAAAATTACTGGCTTCATGGGATAAACTTACCTGAACACGGATATAAAGTATGATTACAGTTTGATGAATGATTATTGCTTTATATACTTTCTGTTTTCATTTTTCTGTAGAAGGCTGTATTATTTCGTAACATTTTTAATTTATTTACAGTTGAGGAATGTTAGTCATAATTGCTATTTGATGCTAAACTAATAAAGCAAACTGCATTATCAATTTGTTATTGAGAGTATATTTAAAAAATATCAATCATTCAGAGATTTAATACATTTTATTTGGCCTGATAGTTGTTGCCAATCTCCATATATTTTCTAGTTATTTAAAAATATTCCTTGCTTATCTTCGCTAATGACCTAGATATCATCCTAATGAATGGTAGTTTATGGATTATATTCAAGATAAAAAATTTGAAATCAAAATTATAATTTAAATTAGTGGTAACCTCTTCCCCCTCTCTATTTTAAAAATCGTAATAACTTTTCTGGACTGCACCATTTCTAGATCAATCAAAGTCATCAGTGCTATGCAATTCACTGCATAACGCTGATGATGTAGCTAATTCAGAACCTGAACTCAAAATTTCAATAGTTGAAACCTTTCTAGCCTAAACCAAAACCTTTCTCTTAGTAAGTCTACACATTGGATAATTGCGCACTTCAGCTTCATCTCTCCCGAACCGATGATGCTACTTCACCCCCTTTGCTTTGTTGTTCTGCTAACTACACTGTTATCTAAAATATGATACTCTATATAAGATGTGGGGTGCGTATTGCACCTATGATAATATGTAATGAAGAATATGTTTCAATAATTAGTTCGTGGCCAAGTTACCGAAGTTCTCCGTTCTTCTTATATATATATATATAGAGAGAGAGAGATTTATAAGAAAAAGAGAGGTTAAAAACCTAGCTACGTCCTTAAAGAATATTTGAATACCCTATCTAATTTCAAATATTACATGTAAAACAATATCAAATTATCTAAAAGTAAAATGAAAAAATGTACGTGAAAAAACCTATCTAATTTACACATAATATAAAAATTGTACATTTAAAAACATAATTAATTTTCTGTGTTCAAGGCTTCAAATAGAACTTATCAAGGGAAAAGTGCTTGAAGCCCTCAACTAAGTTGATTAACCCATACATTATATATATATGTAATCAATAATGCTGCACAAATGCAGATTTACATGACCAAATCCAAAAGCCTACTGCATTGAGAAGGTTGAGCATTAATTGTAAAAATATATTTTTAATCTATTTATTATAAAAAAATAAATAAATAAGAAAAAAAAAATAAAAATAAAAATTCAACATGATTAATAAAATTTTTGCAACACATGCTATCATAAAGTAATATAAATCACATAATCTAACTTAAATTTTAGAGCACAGCAATTGTTACCATCCACTAAAACATCATCCATAATTCATATAGATCAATTAGTATTTTAATCTGTTCAGAAATTTATCACAATAAATAGAGATCATCTGTTATGTTGCATATTTTATTATGCAAAAGTACTTCGTTTTGCATTCCTATATTGTTCTATTTTATTGCAGTTCCAATTTTAAACAGTGCCATAATGCAGAAATTAACTTAAAATCAGATTTGTTTAGTCATCTGTGGGAATGGGAATAAATGCGAGAAGAGAAGATAACTTTTGCCAAAAATGTTGAAGAACTGATAAAAATGCAGAACTGAAAATCAATACTAGCTCTTAAATAGACTTATTTAATGAAAATTTTACTAATTATAATGAAATAATTTCTACTAATGAACAGAAATTTGTAAATTAAAAATCAAAAAATACAGAAACTGCAAACTATTCAAAAGTAACATTATGAAATACTGGAAAATAATAACTAAAACTTAAATCAGATACTAAGGGTACTTGTGGGGAAAAAAAAAAAAAAAAAACTAAGGCTTTTCTGAAAATTATTGACAGTGGTATGAGTGAAGAAATAATACAAAGCATAAAAATATAATGGCTAGTACATTTGATTTAATATATAAACCATTTTTATAAAATGTTTGCATCAAAAGTAGATTTTAGTCTTTTGTAAGAAGCCATGTACTTTTGAAGTCAGTAATATCAGTAAATATAAGGCAACAAACTACAAATAATGATTTTAAATGAAAATGTGTTCCATTAGGAAGAAACATGAATAAAGCACTGTAATATAAGCTGTATACCTTGTAAAAATAACTTTCATGTATTCACATCAATGATAGTAACAGAAGATTGATAAAGTTAAAACAACATACTACAAATGGCAGTCAAATTCCTTTACATATATGCAAACAACTCTTCTAAAGCTCATTTTAATAAAACACAATAAAGCCACAAATTCTTAGTAAATAGAAACCTCTGTACTCAGTTACTGGAATAAATCACTTTAAATAATACTTTGTATTTCATGAAATAAGTTCATATAAGGTAAAATATATTAAAATATCAACTATTTCATGAACAGCTAAAAGAGATCATGCAGCTCACAATGTTATCCACTTATATTTGAATATCATATGGCCAAGGATTTTGTCAAATCTGCAGTTTCAATTTTTATTCTGATCTAAATATGTAAAAAATAAAGTTACATTAAAGTACATCACACCAATCATAATTTTCAAATGGCAGAAATGTCACATTCTGACTCCACTGAAGGTCGAAAGTTAGATAAAAATATTTAATTGAATAAAAATTTTCCAACAATGAAAACATATCATTTTAATACTTTTCTTTAATTCATTTATTTCCGAAGATATTTTAAATGTTAGAAACAGAAATACCTGATTCATGAACATGACATTTATTGACGTAAATAAAGAAAAAAGTAATGCATGATAACTTATACATTTTACTCTGAAAAGAAAATATGTTTTTACACTTTAAAGTGAAATTAAATTTTTCCCAGAAAATTTCCCCATAGCCTTAAATTTTTCGATGAAAATCATATGCTGCACTAAATTCTATATATTATTTAACATTTAAAGCAAATTTTAACCGGATAAAATTGTATGTAGCACAATACAGAAAAATTTTGACAGTACCTGAAACATGTTTTCCTTGATTTTAATTTTGCTTCTTTTGTGCACTGCTCCACATCCTTAGACTCAGCTTCTTTTGTGCACTGCTTCACATCCTTAGACTCAGCTTCTTTTCCTAAAATCCGCTTTATCGTCAGGCGCAATTCTCTCGATTTTATTCTTCTTGGATTTTTCACTCTCGTGTGTAGTAGTGGTTGGACTTAATTCTCTCGCTAATTCTAATTCTTTCAAAAACACCATTCTGGTCATACAGGGTTTTGGTTATAAACCTTGGTGCAAAATGTATGTGTTTACTCATATCTCTACTAACTGGTAGAAAAGAGCCATAGGCCAATGCGTTGTTCTCCTACTACAGGAATGGACAGAACATTTTTCATCTAAAGCATCAACACCACCTTTGGTTCTGTTATAAAAAGCAATTATTTCAGGTTTCCTGCTGTGTTTCCGAGTTTGTTTCTATTGAATGATGCAATGATGACATCAAAACCACTGCTCACCTTTTCTTTGGAACAAATGAAATCAAGGTTATGTCCTTAGTAAATCCATACAATGTTGAATTCTTTTTTCTTGACTTATATGGAAGAAAATTTTCGGAATTTCTTTATTTTTTTTAACAGTTCCAACGTATGTCAGTCCATTTTTCAACAATTCTGTGGTAAGTTCTATGGAAGAAAACCAATTGTCTGCTGTTACATTCCTGTTCGTATTAAAAATTGGTTTGCTCAAACGCAGAACAGCTTGACTTGGTTTGCTGAATTTTTTCCAACTCTCTTCTACGCTAATTCCATCAGAGTCTTTTCCACAATAAAGATATGCATTGTAAGCATAATTATCCCGGGCATCAGTCAAACACATAACTTTTAATCCATATTTCACAAGCTTTTGGGGCATATACATTTTAAATCCAACAAGCATTTCATCAATACAGACACAAGTGCCTAATGTGTATGCTTTCTGGGAGTTATAAATGAATAAATTCATCACTTCAGAAATAAGTGCTGCCGGATCAGATTTCTTTCATTCTTCCCTATCATCTGGGTTATCAAATTGCAAATTTGAAAGTAAAAATTTAAAACGTTTCATTGACATAACTGCACGAAAAATATCGCGGCCAGTTCCATCCGTGGCAAATAAACATTCAATATCTTCATGATTGGATTTTAAGACTGATGTGCAAACATTCAATATCTTCATGATTGGATTTGAAGACTGATGTGTAAGAGCTCTCAGTTCATCAACACAGGTGTAGTCAATTTTACCTTTAATCGGACCACATATATTTTTTATTTTTCTTTCAATTTTTAGATTTGTCCATTTCACAATTATGCTTAAAAGTTTGTCAGTAAAAAGTAGTTGCCATACATTTTTTGGATCTGAATTATCAATTTTTCCGTAAAGGTCTTACTTCAGGAAATCTTACGATATTGTGAGCTGGCCTTCTAACTTTTTGATTTGGTTCAACGGATGACCATTTGAACCGATTTTTTCCATAGTAGTAGTTTACGGAATTAGTTGTTTCTAGATCAGAGAAATCATTGCTGTCTGCAGAAAATTTAGAGTCTGTTGAGTGGGCACCCTTTTGCAGAAATTTTCTTCACAGTCATCTTCTTCACTAACATCACTTCCAACTTTGTCTAGAATTTTTTTCAGTTCTTCGCATAATGCGGGTCAGAAGGATAAATGAATCTCCACCG